CAGTCCTAGGACCAGTGCTGTTTCTGGTATTTGTGAACGACATATGATGTGATCGGAATGACTGTTGAGAGAGTCACTGATAGACAGCATGAATACAGATCGACAGTGCAGACTGTAGAAGTAATTCAACCATCAAGTCAGCAGAATTACAAAGGGATCTGGACGGAGTCAGATCCTGGCCAGAGACAATGGCTCACTCAAGGAAGTCTTGGGGGAGTTAACACCAGCCACTCAAGGCAATACCATAATGTGGGGAAGGGCGTAAAACCGAAGATTCCGACTCAGACGGACTGTACACGTGTAGGGCCAAGAGCTATGGCAACCTTGCCACTACAAGGTGAAAAGATCTTGGAGTGAAAGTTTGAACACAGACTATCTCGGCTGAAGCGCTACAGGATCAAGGAAATCAACTGACGCACATCTGGAGGCCAGGCAGAGACCTCAGGGGGGACATGATACGACATCAAAATACGAGAGAATGATCAGTGACCATGTACACCGTACAGTGACATAGTTGGAAGTGAAGACAGGCATCCAGGGTTTAGGAAGTATCTTCCACACACGAGTCAAGTCACGTAAGTGAAGAAAGTTGAGGAAGGTGCGGGAGGAGGTTCAACAAGCTTCTAGAGCTAGAGGTATGATCAAGCTCGAGAGAGTCAGGGAGAATAACCTGAGCGACACTGAAGGCGGGAGCATAGGGTGGACTCGAACCGACCTCAAACTAGAGGAATACAATGGTGGACATAGGAGCACCAGTCACTCTCACAATGGATGGACTACATTGGAAGGTCCTGCAATCACAGATAGGAATGGTTTCACGACTGTTCCAACTAGGAGGGTATTTCTGTCACTCCATAGTCAGTAAGTGGATAGTTTGCGATCATCAGCGATGTAGGGAGCAGGATTCCCATGCATACTTATAGCAAGGTGTGTAAAGCTTCACGGCTCGAGGGGTCCTGTAGCGTCAGTGACAAGGATGGGGTTTCCAGCACTTTCGGATGGGTTCCCCTGTAAACCTCAACTAGTGAGTCATAGGATGGGTTTCCCCTGTCACTTTCCATCACATAGGATGGGTTTCCCCTGTCACTCTCCATCACAAGGATGGGTTTCCCGTACTTCCATCACATAGGATGGGTTTCCCCTGTCACTTCCATCACATAAGATGGGTTTCCCTGTCACTTCCATCACATAGGATGGGTTTCCCCTGTCACTCTCCATCACATAAGATGGGTTTCCCCTGTCACTCTCCATCACATAGGATGGGTTTCCCCTGTCACTTTCCATCACATAAGATGGGTTTCCCCTGTCACTCTCCATCACATAAGATGGGTTTCCCGTCACTTTCCATCACATAGGATGGGTTTCCCCTGTCACTCTCCATCACATAGGATGGGTTTCCCCTGTCACTTTCCATCACATAGGATGGGTTTCCCCTGTCACTTTCCATCACATAGGATGGGTTTCCCCTGTCACTCTCCACATAAGATGGGTTTCCCCTGTCACTCTCCATCACATAAGATGGGTTTCCTGTCACTTCCCAATAAGATGGTTTCCCGTCACCCATCACATAAGATGGGTTTCCCGTCACTTTCCATCACATAGGATGGGTTTCCCCTGTCACTCTCCATCACATAGGATGGGTTTCCCCTGTCACTTTCCATCACATAGGATGGGTTTCCCCTGTCACTTTCCATCACATAGGATGGGTTTCCCCTGTCACTTCATGAGGTTCGTCACTTCCACACTAGATGGGTTTCCCCTGTCACTCTCCATCACAAAAGGATGGGTTTCCCTTGTCACTTTCCATCACATAGGATGGGTTTCCCCTGTCACTTTCCATCACACAGGATGGGTTTCCCCTGTCACTTTCCATCACATAGGATGGGTTTCCCCTGTCACTTTCCATCACATAGGATGGGTTTCCCTTGTCACTTTCCATCACATAGGATGGGTTTCCCCTGTCACTTTCCATCACACAGGATGGGTTTCCCCTGTCACTTTCCATCACATAGGATGGGTTTCCCCTGTCACTTTCCATCACACAGGATGGGTTTCCCCTGTCACTTTCCATCACAGGATGGGTTTCCCCTGTCACTTTCCATCACAGGATGGGTTTCCCCTGTCACTTTCCATTACATAGGATGGGTTTCCCCTGTCACTTTCCATCACACACGACGTGCTTCTATTCTGCACTACCTCCTATGTTATGTTAATGTATAGATTTAGGACCAGAGCTCCAAGTACTTTCCACGCATTCATTATCAGCAAGGTTGTGGTACGTATGTTGGACTACGTGCGGCCAGCAGTAACAGCCTGGTTGATCAGGCCTTGATCCACCGTGAGGCCTGGACAAGGATCGGGCCGCGGGAGCTGGCCTGGTTCTCGGGTAGGGGAAGTGTTCAGTGTTGTTTCAGACATACCTGTGGTCCAGAGCGCCATTTTTCACTCGGCAGTCGGCATTTGTGGCATTTTATTCATCGTCTGGCTTGTTTTTACGCGACACCGCAAGTGGTGTACAGGTTGGCGACCTCCAGGATCACCTTAAGTAGACCATCTGTAATAGTTAACATGGGTTGACTAACACAGATTGTTGTGTTGGCTAGTACAGGTGCGGAGTGAGTCTGCACAGGTGTTATACAGGTTTCTGCAGTAATGTGAAGTACATAAAATAAAATATTCGTAAAATTATAGATCACATTTTTCACTATAAACACCTTATAAAGTTCACGTTATTCAGTGATCGACCTTCTTAGTAGCTGGCTGGGACCTGCCTAGCATGGGCCTACTGCAGTGCTCCTTCTTTGTTTTTGATGATTGATAAGACACTTGTGCAACATCTGGTTATCTTTATTGTAGACGTTTCGCCATCCAGTGGCTTTATCAATACTGGCATGGAGTGCACACCTAATTGTGATTGCAGGGGTCGTGTCTCAGCTCCTGACCCCGCCTCTCTTTACGGGTTTACTCCAGGCTACGTGAGCCTACCATGGCTTCTGCGTCTACCATTTCACTAAGTCATTCCATTGTTTCACCATTCTACGGCTAGCATACCTCCCATGTATAAGGGGGGAGGGAAGTCGAATCACTAGCTGTCTTCAAGAGGGAACTCGACAGATTACTCAAAATAGTTCCTGATCAGTTGGGTTGTGGTGCATTCGTTTGTAGATGAATGGTTCAGAGAACCGACGTGTTGATAAATTAGACACATGTGCAACTCCTGGGTATCTTTATTGAGGTGCATTCATTGGGCTACAGGTGATTGGCACTAGCAATTTGATCGGTCAGGCCGGCAACCAGGAGGCCTGGTCTGGGACCAGGCCGCGGGGGCGCTGATCTCCGGAAGCTAGTACAGATAAACTTAAGATTAGCTTTTAACTGTAACCTCGTGTACCAGAAACCAGTCTCTCAATCACTACCTATCCAACCTATGTATTTTGTACGTCGTAAGTCGTAATCATGTCACACCTCTGATCCCTCTGTCCTTGGGTGAGGGCGGGTGTGATCTGGACCTCACTAGCTTGTGTTATTAGGTCAGATGCCGTGCTCCTTTAGGTGAATGTGACCTGACCTGAATAGGTTTCGGGCATTGGCTAAAACCGGTAGGAGACTAGGACCTACCTCGCATGGGCCAGTAGGCCTGCTGCAGTGTTCCTTCTTTCTTATGTTCTTAAGTGCTGTGTATAAGGTCGTGGATACTTGCTGAAGCTCCCCTAGTATCTACCAGTCTCGAGTTTGCTACAGTGGTTATCCGGGTGATGTCTGCCTCAGTCATACTCAAGGTTCGCAGTGAGCCTGAACAGGTGAACCTAGACAGCACAGGTGTGGAGTGAGTGTTCAGTAAACTTAGCAGTTACAGGTGTGGAGTGAGTGTTCAGCTAAGCGTAGCAATCACAGGTGTGAAGTGAGTCTGCATGATTAAATTTAGCAAGCACAGGTGTGGACATACAAACACCGCCCTGTGTGTGTGTGTGTGTGTGTGTGTGTGTGTGTGTGTGTGTGTGTGAGAGAGAGAGAGAGAGAGAGCTCACGTGATGCAAGGCGTGGGGTATCGATTCTCCATGTGTGTGTGCAATCGACGGTTTCTGCAGTGACCATGGGAAGTCTGTGCATAGCAGTGACGCTCGCAGGACCAACCCTGCTGCAACCATGGTATGTGTGGAGCCTCAGTACAGGTCTGGCATGGAGAACATAAAGAGCACTGCAGCATGCCTACTGGCCCATGCTAGGCAGGTCAAAGTTACCCACCCACATCCACTTGTGTATTTATCTAACCTATTTTTAAAACTACCTTAAAGAGGAACACTGAAGCAGGCCATCTGACCCACATTAGGCAGGTCCTTCCTAAACCCAAACACATTAACAAAATTATTTGCCCAAGCCATTATCAGTGCTACCTAAGGAATAAGCTTTGATAACCCTATTAATTAAAGCCACACAAAGTTCTCGCTTCATCCACAACTCTGCCAGACTAGTGTTTTCCTATATCATCTCTAATGCTCAACTTGTCCAGCTTGAGCTCACTGATATTTACGATATTTATATTCTTGAACGCTGTAACTTTCGCCCGCTTCCCTGGCGAAACTCCGCCAGTCAAGACCATTGCCTTTTTCACTTTGGATCCTACAAACTTCCACTCCCATTCTTCAGGCGTTGTATAATCTTGAAGGGTTTAGCGCTTTATTATTATTATTATTATTATTATTATTATTATTATTATTATTATGGTCATCATTGGGTTGTATTTACAGCAAGAGCCTGGTTGACGAGACGAGATTGACCCAAGGCCGGGCTAACTCGCGAAAGCTATCATAAGAACATAAGAATGTAGGAACACTGCAGAAGGCCTACTGGCCCATACGAGGCAGGTCCTTATCAAAACGAAGTATGTGAAGTATCAGAGGTATATATATAGTGTATGGGGGGATATGCCTAGTTGATTGTCAGTATTTTGATATCTTTCTACTCTTGACAGTTGAACATGTGTTTTTCTCTTGTTACAGGACCGGTTGTGGTTGGCAGGCATCGATATGCTGGAACTGGATCCGGAGGCAGAGTGGTGCCAAGAGGGTCCGACTCTCTCCAACGACATTTGGAAGAAGTTTGAATTGCTGCTAACACCACCTCGTTCTCCCCTGAGGGACGCGGAAGACCTCAGCATGATTCTCAGCTGCAACATGGAGTTCAACATGGATCCTATACCCAGCTCCCTCGAGCTGCCACTGATGGAAGACGATGATGAAATATACGTCGATTTAGAGTCTATAGGCTTGATGGAAAGCGGGTTGAACGGTGTACCTTGTGCTCATGGACTAGGACGAGGCACTTGTACCAGCTGTACGCAGCTGGCACTTGCTGGTTCCGAGCTGAGACATGACTGCATGTGGGTAGGCACTTGTACTGCTGAGGCCCACAGTCACACACACTACCATCACCCCCGCACACACAAGGACTCCGGCTCACAGATAACAGAACTTCTCATGGATTCTTCTTCAGAAGCGACACCTGACGTAGCCGCAGGTTTCACTTACATAGCTGACCTACACGCTGTCGACGACGTTGTAAACACACACGATGACGAGGAAGTTAGTCTGCACCACCAGTTCTCCACTCACCACACCGCACGTCCAGACACTCCCTCTGAGTCCTCTGAAACAGACACGGACGAAGACAATGACGATGACCAAGGCAGCGAAGAGTACCATGCCTACCACCGGGAAGAAACAAGTTTAACTGGAGTACACGTCGACCACTGCTACCACGCCTTGAGAGTACCATCACCTACCGCATCTTTATCACCATCGTCTTCAAATGGTCACTACAGCGGCTCCTCGTTTCCACACACTCCCTCAGACTCTGGTGAGTGTCTCAGATCATTTGTACCTGGGATCAGGAGTATCATCAGTGTCCTTTATCACTCACCCCCAACATGTTCATAAAAACATACATCATAGTAATACATGTGCAACTCTTGGGTATCTCAATAAAGATACCCAAGAGTTGCACATATGTCTAATTCAACATGTCGGTTCTCTGAACCATTCATCTACAATCATAGTAATAGTTTAAACTACTAGATCGTAACAGTAGACGATCGCAGCAATAGATGGCAGTACATGTAAGACACTGCAGGTAGGTGATCTAGCTTGTGTTAAGAACATAAGAAAAAGGAACACTGCAGCAGTCCTACTAGCCCATGCGAGGCAGGTCCTAGTCTCCTACCGGCAGGTCCTCATGAATAGAAGTTATACATGTAACTAATTTTAGAGAAACCAAGGCAAAGCACTTGCTTGAGTGGCTCGCTCATCCACAGGTATTGCCAGTATGCTAGTCAGCGTGGCCTTGCTTAACCTGCTCTAAAAATATTTTTATAGACTTCCTAAGTATAAAGTGTCTGTAATGTTGGCAAACATGTAAACACATTTTCTCGCGAGAATAAACATTCCTGTTAACAATACATTTGTGTCTAAAAAATACTTCTTTACATGATTTATAGCAAAATTAAATCTCAGGTGAATTTGGTGATGATGAAGTCTTAGTAGCGCCTTGCTCACAACCAGAGCAACTGGGGTTTGATTCTGGGTCGGTTGAGATGTATGGGGGGAGAATGTTACAAGGATGCTGTCGTTAAATTAGACACATGTGCAACAAGAGTTGCACATGTGTCTAATTTAACAACATGTCGGTTGTTTAGGTAAGACACATATGCAACAGTTAGGTATCTTTATTTCGAAACGTTTCGCCTACACAGTAGGCTTCTTCAGTCGAGTACAGAAAAGTTGATAGAAGCAGAAGAGACTTGAAGACGATGTAATCAGTCCATCACCCTTAAAGTTTTGAGGTGGTCAGTCCCTCATCTGGAGAAGATATTTTTCCCTTGTCTGGAAAAATAGGGAGTTGAAGTGATAGGAGGACCCTTTATATAGCCCGGAGTGAGACTTTGGCATATAGAGTAAGAATGTAGACATTAGAGGCGGGTCCCCTCAATCCAGCCTTTCTCATGTAGAGGTTGTTAAAAGGGTTCCAAGTCTGTACCAAGATCCCCTTTGTTGCAGGTTGACAGAGTGAACAAAAAATGATATAAAATCCCGACAGGTTGTTAGGTAAGACACAATGCAACAGTTAGGGACTGACCCCTCAAAACTTTAAGGGTGAGGACTGATTACCATGTCTTCAAGTTTTTCTCTTCTATCAATTTGCTGACTCGACTGAAAAACCCTCTGTGTGCGAACGTTTCGAAATAAAGAACCAAACTTTGCATATGTGTCTTATTAAACAACTGTCGGTATTTTATATATTTTATTTTAAACATGTGGGTTTTCTTTAAACCCATTCATCTACAAGGTGCTGTCCCACAAGTGAGGAAAATTTTAAACAGCGTAAAACCCCAGATGTAAACTTTAAGTTAAGAAAAAGGAAAAAAGTACTAATGTGCATTTTATTGTGGAAATGTTCGCCCCTGGAGAGCGAAATGTTGCCACAATAAAATGTCACATTAGTTGCACTTGTGTCCTTTTACTTTACATATTGTCGGTAATGCTACCAACATTATTACAAGTTTAATGTCATTTGACACTTGTGAAGTCTCCGGCACTACCCTTTGGGGTTGTGAGGGCTCCCCGGGATCCTTGGGGTTATAATTCTCCCGTGCACTACCTTGGTCTTGTGAGTCCCCGTCACTACCTTGGTCTTGTGAGGTCTCCCGTGCACTACCTTGGTGTTGTGAGGTCTCCCGTGCACTACCTTGGTGTTATGAATTCTCCCGTGCACTACCTTGGTCTTGTGAGGTCTCCCGTGCACTACCTTGGTGTTGTGAAGTCTCCCGTGCACTACCTTGGTGTTGTGAGGTCTCCCGTGCCTACCTTTGGGGTTGTAGGGCCCCCCGTGCACTACCTTGGTTTGTGGGTCTCCCCTGCACTACCTTGGTGTTGTGAAGTCTCCGTGCAACCTTGTGTTGTGAGGTTCCCCTGCCTACCTTGGTGTGTGAGGTCTCCCGTGCACTACTTGGGTTGTGGTCTCCGGCCCACCTTGGTGTTGTGAAATCTCCCGTGCATACCTTTGGGGTTGTGAAGTCTCCCGTGCACTACCTTGGGGTTGTGAGGTCTCCCCCCACTACCTTGGGTGTTGTGAGGTTTTTCCGGCACTACCTTGGTGTTGTGAGGTCTCCCGTGCACTACCTTGGTCTTGTGAAGTCTCCCGTGCACTACCTTGGTGTTGTGAGGTCTCCCGTGCACTACCTTGGTGTTGTGAAGTCTCCCGTGCACTACCTTGGTGTTGTGAAGTCTCCCGTGCACTACCTTGTGTTTTGAAGTCCCCGTCACTACCTTGGTGTTTTTAATTTTCCCCTGCAACCCTTGGGGTTTGAGGCTCCCCTGCACTACCTTTGGGGTTGTGAAGTCTCCCGTCCTACCTTGGGGTTGTGAGGTCCCCCCCTGCCTCCTTGGTCTTGTGAAGTCTCCCGTGCACTACCTTGGTGTTGTGAGGTCTCCCGTGCACTACCTTGGTGTTGTGAAGTCTCCCGTGCACTACCTTGGTGTTGTGAAGTCTCCCGTGCACTACCTTGGTGTTGTGAGGTCTCCCGTGCACTACCTTGGTGTTGTGAGGTCTCCCGTGCACTACCTTGGTGTTGTGAGGTCTCCCGTGCACTACCTTGGTGTTGTGAAGTCTCCCGTGCACTACCTTGGTGTTGTGAAGTCTCCCGTGCACTACCTTGGTGTTTTGAGGCCCCCTGCACTACCTTGGTGTTGGAGGTCCCCGTGCACACCCTTTGGGCTTGTGAGGTCTCCCGTGCACTACCTTTGGGCTTTAGGTCCCCGTGCACTACCTTGGGGCTTGGAAGTCCCCGTGCACTACCTTGGTGTTGTGAGGTCTCCCGTGCACTACCTTGGTCTTGTGAGGTCTCCCGTGCACTACCTTGGTCTTGTGAAGTCTCCCGTGCACTACCTTGGTGTTGTGAAGTCTCCCGTGCACTACCTTTGGGGTTGTGGGTCTCCGTGCATACCTTGGGGTTGTAGGTCCCGTGCATACCTTTTGGCTTGTGAGGTCTCCCGTGCATACCTTGGGGTTGTGAAGTTCCCGTGCCTACTTGGGGTTGTGAAGTCTCCCGTGCCTACCCTTTGGGGTTGTGAGGTTCCCTGCATTTTCTTGGTCTTGTGAAGCCCCCCTGCATTTTCTTTAGCGACGGAAACTTTTCTTTCCCAAAACAACTTCATGCAGTTTCACTTTCTTCCCGTGTGTGGGGGATGGGGTGTACGCTGCATGGAACCCAAAGACGGTATAAAAAAAGTCGTAAAATTTAATTTGAAAAAAATGACGAGGTATAGAATTGTCTAAATTTTTTGGTGTTACTTACTTGTTTTTTGGGATATGGCTTGCCTTCTCTTAGTTTCAGGAGGAGGGGGAAACATTAGGACGTGTTTCCTTGAAAAACACCGCTGTCCAGGGCACCCCTCAGTAAAAAAAGGGATCTGGGTGTTAATCGACTGGTGTGGGTCGCATCCCGGGGACAAAATTGACCTAATTTGCCCAAAATGCTCTGCATAACAAGCGGCTTTCTATATAGTAGTATGTCGTTAATGTCAGCTGTGGTCTGTATACCTTGTACATGTACTTGTAGAAATAAAGATACAGCCTAGTTGATCAGGCCCTGATCCACTGGGAGGCTTGGTCATGGACCGAGCCGCGGGGGCGTTGATCCCCGGAATACCCTCCAGGTAGACCCTCCCTCCAGGTATTATTATTACCAGTGAGAATGATTGAGAAGGACCTGCCTGTCATGAGCCAGTAGGCCTACAGTAGGGCTATTATATTTTCACGTTCCTACAGCCCAAATCGAGGCAATTTGTCAACGACTATCTCCATTCCTGGTGCCTCTGTCTGTCTAGATAGCCGGGGCGACGGCAGTGTAGTGTGCAGCAGAATCTAAGCCGAGATGGCAGTCACAGTACTGCGGTTGAAGTGGTTCACAAATACCTCAGACTTTCCAAAGAAAATTATAGAGATTACGGTCCGTTGGTTGACTTGATAATAGTCCAGGACGGAGCGAAACATCGTCTATACTTTTGCCCCGGAGAGTGTGTGAGTTGAATGTGATAGTGGTGTACAATACCGACAAGTTGATAGACACATGTTAAACAGGTATTTTTATTCAGAAACGTTTCGCCTATACAGTAGGCTTCTTCAGTCGAGTGTAGAGGAGGCAATGTAATCAGTGCATCACCCTTGAGGATGTAAGGTTGTATAGGTGGAGGTGTGATGGAGGCGCTGCGGTGTGGTATGAGTGTTTCCGGAGGTGTTTCAATGCGGCTGTGGTGGTGCCGGCAGTGTGGCGCCCCGGTGTTGCGTCAGGGGGGAACTACCAGCTGTGTCATCCCCTCCTGCCCCCCGTTCCGCCCTCACTCCCCCCCTGTCTTCGCCCACTACACTCCCTCCCTCTAAAAATCCCACCCACTTCCCCCTCCTTCCCGACCCCCTGTCTTTCCTTCCCCTCCCCTCTTTCCCTCACATTCTCCTTCCCCTCTCTGTCCCTCCAGCCCACACCCGTCACCCCTCCCTCCCCCAGTGTAGCATGCAACTCTCCCGGCCCGGTGGCCTGGTGGCTAAAGCTCCCGCTTCACGCACGGAGGGCCCGGGTTCGATTCCCGGCGGGTGGAAACATTTCGACACGTTTCCTTACACCTGTTGTCCTGTTCACCTAGCAGCAAATAGGTACCTGGGTGTTAGTCGACTGGTGTGGGTCGCATCCTGGGGGACAAGATTAAGGACCCCAATGGAAATAAGTTAGACAGTCCTCGATGACGCACTGACTTTCTTGGGTTATCCTGGGTGGCTAACCCTCCGGGGTTAAAAATCCGAACGAA